GGTTCTGGATTCAGGGAGGTACCGCACCTGCCCCACCACTAGATGGGCAGAGGGCACTGAGGCCCAGAGATGCCATCCATCTCAAAACCCCACAAGACCCCTTTTAGCCCACTCGTGGCTACTACCAGGCTTGCCTGAGGCTCCCACAGCAGTAACATTTCATTTAAAAAAATACTGATTTGGTCATTTTCTACTTCCAGTCAGGCCAGGTGAAAGGAAAGAGACAGGAGCAAGGCCCCCTGTGCAGTGGGCAGGCCCGGACGGCCGCTAGGCCGGGCCTCCGCCAGGCACAGGGACAGGAGGGGCTCTCTGGTTCCAGCCCCACGCTGTCCGGCTTTCCCCCAATGCAGGGATGGTGCCCCAGGAGGGCCACCCTCGGACAGGCCTGGGGCAAGTGCTTGGCTCCTGGGAAGCTGCGGGCTGGGAGCTCTCGGGAGAGGACAGGAGATTCCAGTTACACACCCCGCCACACCCAGGGGCTTGGGAAGGCCTCCCAGCCCCACACTTCTCCTTGGCCTCTTCAGGGAAATAAGGCTCAGAGTCATCTGAGGTCAGAAGAAAGGTTCCAGCCTCGCCCAGGGCAGAGGAGAGAGGGCAGCGGGATCTGAAATCCCTCCGAGGGTCAGGCCACAGCCGCTGACCTGCCTGGGGGAGGCCACATAGGGCAACGGGTGAGGGCACCGTTTTCTCTGGGTTTCCAGTTTGAAAGGCAAGGGGCTCGCCACCTGCGGCGGAGCCCACGTGGAGAAGAGAGTTAGCAGGAGGGGTCTGGGCAGGGTGGGGACGGGGCGGCGGGCGGGGGCTAGTACTCCCACAGCGTGGCGGGGTCAGTGGTGTCAGCGCAGGCCTTCAGGACCCCGGCGTGGTCCCCCTTCAGGTAGTGCCCGCCCACCCTGATGGCCACCTTGTTGTAGTCGCAGAACTCGAAGAAGAAGTCCACGGGGGTGTCGCTGCTGCTGGTGACTGAGGAGTCGTTGCCCACCGTCCAGTACTTGCCCGTGGAATCTGGGGGGGGGGGCAGGGCAGAGGGAGACCCCGTCAGGCCCTGTCCTAGGCTCTGCTCCCCACCCTGCAATCATGGCTTCCGGAGTGGGGGCGGGGTCTGACGCTTCCACCCCAGCCTCCGGCCCACGCCGGACTGGAGTCCCTTCCCCAGCCTCCCACCAGGGTTCTGGTCCAGTAACTCAAGTGTGTGACGCCTCCCCTGCCCACCCCTTCCAGAATCCTGTCTCCCTCTCTAGCTCTGTCTGGGCTAAGCCAGGAAATCTCCCTCCTATACAGACAAAAGGGGAAGGGGCTACCCCCAGCCTAGACCCCTGGTGGCCACATGGGGTCTGGGATGGCCCAAGCCACATCACAAGGTAACCAAGCTGAGCCCCAAAGCCAGGGCCAAGTAGGGCAGGAGGGTGTTGCTCCCTGTGCCCCAGCGTTGGCCCCCTAGGCCCAGGGGGCTTCATGCAGCTTCACCCACAGGAGAACCTGCCTTTGATGTTGTAGGCACCATCCCTGAACTCCAGCTGGAAGACATCGTAGTTGGAGCGGTTGGCGTCCAGGGTGCCCGTGACCTTGCGGCAGCCGATAAAGCCGTGCTCCCCGCGGAACACGATGATGGGCCGGTTGATTAGCTTCATGAGGAAGAGCTCCGAGTCCCCTGTTCCAGGAGGTGGGAGGGGCCGTGAGCCTCATGGGGGTGGGGGTGGGGGAGGGGGGGTGCCAGGTCCAGGGTGTGGCTCAGAGAGGGAGAGCAGGAGCCTGGGGTCACACAGCATGCCAGCTCAAGGGTGAGGCTGTGTGGTGCCAGTTTGGGGGGATGCCTAGCACAGGGCAGTCTTTGGGTGGGGTTGGTAAGTGACCATGGCACAGTCAGACCCTTCAGGGAACCGGGACTTGGGGTGTGCCTACAGGTGGCTACCTGCTGTCTCCACCGAGGCAGCCAGCTGGCCATTCTTCTTGGCTGTCACAAACTTGCCATTGGATGCACGCAGTATGATCCGCCGATCACGCCACTCGATGTCAAAGTAGCAGCTGGCGTCCCTGAGGGTGGCGGGACAGGGTCAGGTGGGGCCGCCCCAGGCCCTGGGGCCCTGTCCCACAGGAAAGGCCGGCCTGGCGAGCAAGGGCAGTGACAAGCGGGCAGCGGGGCACTCACTTGGTGGAGGCTGTGGACTGCACACCCCCAGTGGCCGTCAGCGTCCAGTACTTGCCCACATGCGTGCGGAAGGCGCACTTTTTGGTGTCACGGTCAATCTCCAGCTGGAAAGTCTCTTGGTCAGTCTCTTCATCCTGATTGGCCGACAGGTCCATACCTGTGGGGAGAGCCTCCAGCTAGCACGTGGACCCCCTACGCCCCCAGGTTCGGGCTGACCCACAGCGCTGCCCTCACACACCAACACAGAGGGGCTGCTGAGGCCCCTCGGCCTCCACTTCAGGGGGCAGGACCCAGGGTCCCAGTCAAGGACCAAGGCTGGCTACGCCCATTTACAGGCCACTTTCTCTAAGTACAGAAGTGATCCCTTCCAACAAACCAAATGCAAAAAGACATTCTAGAATCAACTGGGAGAATCTTAATGTGGCCCAGGATCAAGTAGTGAGGATTAATTGTTGTTAATTTTGTCATTATGTAAGAAAATGGCCTTGTTTTTTAGAGATACAGACAAACATTTCAAAATGAAATGCCCTGATGTCAGGGATTTGCTTTAAGTACAACCAAAGCAGTGAATCAAGGGACAGATGGAGCTAGAATGGCAGAATAGCATGTGCTGGGTGGCTCATCATATCCATCCTGCTTCTGTATACGTGTTAAAGTTAAGAGGAGGCATAAGAGCAACATTCCCATCAGGCATCAGGAGATTTACACGTTTCCACGTCCCTAAATCTTCCGGGGTTTTGCTTCCACACGCTGTGGCTCCATCATTTTGCATATCCATGTGGCCCCTCCCGCTAACGCCTGGAAGTAGGATCTTTGGTCCCAGCAACCAATTATCCCCCAAGCGCCGTGGATTCTAAGCGCCTCAGCAGCAGGGCTGTGGGTCGGTGTGTGTGAGTCACTGTTCGGGCTTTGAGGCCTTTATAAAGCGGGGACCACAGTGGTGGTGGGCAGCCGATGTGCCTTCAGGGGAGATGAGCTGGCAGGCGGCGGTCTGAGCCCCCAGCCCCTCCCCCAGGACCCAGCCCTACCTAGCCCTCCAACCACCACCCAAAGGGCCTGAGGGCGTCAACCCATGCTGACCAGGTTTGGTGTCCCTGTATAAGCGCCGCCCCCACCTCACAAAGGAGGCTGAGGCAGAGAGGTGATGTCCTTGGCCAAGGTCACCCAGAAAGAAAGCAAGGGTTCCAGGGACTCTCAGGAGAGGTGGACAAACGTGGGCCTCCTCCCATGCCCTCTCCCCCAATCCTCCCTCTTCTCTGTGGAGGGTGGAGGACTCTGCAGGAACCCCCATGGGTCACCCTGGGCCCTGAACCAGACCCTCAGAACCCCCGAGCTCAATCCTTCAGGCCCACTGGGCCCCCTCAGCCCCAACATCAGGGGTCCACTGGGTGCCCGAGCCACCCAGAAGAGGACCATCCTAAGGCCACGCCCGGGGGCACAGCCCGGGGCCAGGGTCCCTCCTTATTCAGACCTCATCCAGCCCTCCTGCCCCAGTCCTGCCTGCCTGGCCACAAGACACCACCTGCCGAAGGCACGGCCGGCCAGCTGATGGGAAGGAAAGAAGAGACAAGAGGAGAAGCCCCACAGGGCACACCTCAGCTGCAGCAGAGATAGAGGGGGTCCCCAGGAAGAGGGGCAACGGGAACAGGGAAGGGCCCTGGATGGCAGTCAAATCTCCAGCACCGTACCAGCCAGCCCGGGAACAAACACAGGAAGCACAGCAGCTCCCTCTCGATGGGGCTTCTGGTTACTGGGCGCTTAGCCAGGGGTAGCCCCCGTGCTCATGCGGACGTCCCTCAGCTTGGCTGGCCCAGCGATCCCATGGAATGATTCCTATCACCCTCCTCCTCCTATGAGGAGCAAAGCGAGGCTCTGCGGTGCTCAGCGCTCGCCCAGGGCCACACAACCACCGCCATCTGCTCGCTCACTCAGGCCCTGTCCAGCCTGGTTGTGTCCAGTCCTGGAACTGGTTTGATAAAAAGGCCTAAGCCAGCCAGCAAGGTCCTCAGTGCCAGCCACCCTTGGGTGCCGCTCAGCCTCAGTTTCCCTCTCTGCCCGTCCAGAGGGCCTGGTCTCTCCATTCTGCCAGGAGATGGAAAGGATTCGGGGGCCTGGTGCCAAGCAGACACCAGGTCTTCCACCCACAGCAGGAAGGGGGCGGGGGAGGCGAGTTGTCTTCCTGCGCATCCAGGGGGCGCCTCCTCGGCTCCGCGGCCCTGCCCAGACTGGAAAGGCCCCACTTGGCCTTGGAGTCTCTAATTAGAGCTGGGTTACTATGGGAACAGAGTTTTCTTCAGGATTTTCTTTTCATCAACAGCAGCACAGAAAACCTGAGTCACAGGCTCACAGGAGCCCTGGGGAGGCAGGAGACGCGGGGGCTCAGCTGAGCCCACGGGCCCATCCCCACCCCCCTCCAGACAGCCCTAGTGAGATACCGCCTGTGCCCTCTCCATCATGGCTTTCCCGGTCTCCAGCCTCTGAGCCATCCTTTACAGTGGCTCAGAGGGGCACCCCCTGCCTGCCAGCACACCCCATGGACCCCCCTCAGTCTTAGCAGTTCTCCAATTCCCCTGGCTTGTTCAAATCAAGCACTTGCCACCACCCCCATTCAGTTTAAGCGAGGGAGCCTAGAATCATCTGTGGCCTCACCTGACCTCCCCTCTTTCCAGTCACCTCCTGCCACTACCTGAGCCGTTCAAATCCCTGCTCCGTCCTTCCACAAGCTATTCCCTGGGCCTGAAATGCCCTGCCTCATCAGGAGAACTCTTATACATCCTGCAAAGCCCAGCTCAACCAGCCCTTCCTCAGCCAGCCAGCTTGACCTTCAAGCAACTAGGACTGGGTACTTCCTGAGCACAGAGTCCCCAGGGCACAGCTGGCCAGATGCAAAGAAGCTGTGATACCAGTTGGGAAATGTGGTAAGGCTTCACCCAGAGTCTGGCTGTAGTCCAGGGCAGGTGAGGCTCCAGAGGAGCATAAGTACTGCCACTCAGTGGCCCTACCATCCTCCATCCCTGCCCAAGCTGTGTTCCCCTCCGTGTGGTCACAACTATACCACCTCCCAGGACCTGGGACAGTTGTCTGCCATCTGCCTTACATCAGCTCTTCGGACCCCTACTCCCTGGTGGCCAACCCTGCCTCTGATGGTGGCTGTGATGGCCTCCTCCCAGAAATATAACCTGGCCAAAAAATGTTCCCAGGGCAGCCCTGGGCCAGCACTTTAAAGATGGGGAAACTGAGGCCGGAGAGCAGATTGCAGCTTCAGCAGGGAGCACCCCGCCCCCTCCAGGCATGGCCTGTGCAGGCCTGCGGGGATGATTCACATCCCCCAGCCAGCTAAACTCAGGATCCTCCTCCTTCCTGGCTGGTGTTTCCCAACATGTGTCAGAAGCACAGAGGCCGCCTCCTTGCCACGCAGTCCTGTCCAAAATGGCCTCTGCACACGCCCCGCCCCCCCATCCTATGCCGGCTCCGGGTCCTCTGGTCATCCTCCATCCCACCAGGAAGACCCGAGGTCAGCCAACATAAGATCAAGATGAGGACCCCCAAATCTGAGGCCAGTGGAGTTCTAATCTTGGCTCCCAAAGCCCCTTCCCCTTTAAACTCACAGATGGGCCAACACCTCTCCTGGCCCAATTTCCGGCTCCTCCTGCCCCAGCAGCTTGAATCACACCATGACAACCCCAGTGAGCTTTACTAGAAAGAGGAGGGCATCTGCCTAGGCTTGCCAGTGTCTGCCAAAAACACCCCCAGGTTCTCTCTGCATCTTCCTGGCCCTAAGGGTGAGGGCCAGGGCTACATGCTCCAGCCACATCTTCCCCAGGGAAGGTGCTGGATGCAGCCCAACAAGCACAGAGCACTGTGTTATGAGCACCCAAATCGGTCCTGTGGCCCTGCTGGCTGTTCCAGTCCCACATACTAACCTCACCAGCTTCTTCTCAGCCACACTGAGCTTTCTGCTCCTTCCTGCCTCCGTGCCTTTGCACAAGCTGTGCCCTGTGCCTGCAACACCCAGATACATGCTACCTTCTATTCATCCTCAGGTCAAGTGTCCTCCTCAGAAAGGGACCTCCCCCATCAAATCTGGGACCCTCATGTACTTCCTGGACCCCGATGCCTTTGCTAGACACCTGTGGGATGTTGCTCATGTCCCAACAAGAACATTGGGCCCAACAGGAAAGGATCCCAGACATGCCCATTTGCTCACCACTCAGGCTTCAGCATGTCTCACTTGCTAGGGGCTCAGTGTTTGCTGAATAGTTGGGGAGTCCTGCCCCACCTACTGCTGTGTGAGACTGGAAAGAGGCGACCCACTGTGCCTCAGGGGGTCCACATAAGCACCCATTCTGGAGTCAAACCCAGTTCTGTATTCTGCTTACTTGTATGACCTTGAGGACCTGGCTTCACCTCTCTGCGCCTGAGCCCACCCATCTGTAGGATGGACGAGACACCACCCACCTCAGTCAGCAAACTCAGGCACAAAACTGCCATGGAGCCGCGACCCCCTCAACAGAGCCCAGTCAGGACGGTGGCCATCAGGAGGGGCTGGGGGCACTGACTGGGCTCCCATCCAACCATCTCCAGAGGCTGGGGGTCCAACTTCCCATATTGGGAGCAAGACCCCCACGGTCCCCCAGTGGGAAAGAATCGATTGCCTTCTTGGCCAGAGGAGGGGCGAGGCCGCCAGAAGGAAGAAAATACGCCTGGAGGGGGAATCTATGAAGGAAAAGAGTGGGGCTCACTCCTGGCGCGCAGGCCGGTAGGAAATGGCCAGGCCAGCGGGAGGCCCCGGGAGAGGACGCAGCGCGTTGCAGCCAATTGTT